AGTTCATACAGAAATAATACTGCTAAAGAACAGAAAATGCAATGAAGAAACTCAAATGAAATATTTAAGTCAAATCAGAGAACTTGAAGCTAGGGAGAAGGGGGTGAGGGAGTGTTGTAGAAAACCATCAATTCTGTGAACAGTCTCATACTTCAGCAGGACTCTGTCAGAGATCTAGGACTGCTATGGCCAAGTATCACAGATGAAGCACTTTAAACAGAAATTTATTTTTCCACAGTTTTGGAGACCAAAAGCTAAAGAATAAGAAGTTGGCAGATATTTTAAGGTAATTCAAGGTTAAGATGTTCCTTTGAAGTATCTCTCCTTGACTCACGATGGCCAGGTTCTCTCTGTGTCCTCATTTGCTCTTTTTTGTATATTGTCTATACCTGAGTTTCTCAGACTATAGCGCCCTTTTCAAAACCACTTGGAAGTCCACTGTAAATCTACCTTCCTTAAATGGACAAGCAGAAAGTAACCCCTAATTGTACCAGAGGCCACAACTGCCCTCCCCCTGGATTGTCCCTGGAGGGGCAGTATCATCCTCTTTGGGAAACACTGGCTATGTCCTATACTTCATAAAACGACATCGGCTTGGATGAGTCCCATGCTAATATCCCATTTTTAACGTAAGTGCTTCTTCAAAAATCTTATCTCCAAAAAGTCATTCTGAGGTACTAAGGTTTAGGTTAGGCTTTCTATATATGAATGAGAGTGGGTATATGTGTGATGGCGGATGGGGTGGAGGGAGAGGGGGAGGGAAGGATGGTAGGAGGAAGAGGGACAGTTCAATCCATAATTAAGCCTAATAGTTCATTATGAAACAGGGGGTATTTCTTTTTTCCCTAAAATCTGTCAGTTGCATAAAAACATGACTCATAAATGTTCAGATTCCACAGGCAGATCAGGAATCTGCAGATGGGGCATATAGTTCTGAATTGGGGGTCTGCAGGCCTGAACTCAAGACTTCCATGTCTTCTTGCTGGTAGACTTAGTCTCTAGGGATCTCAATGTCTTTACCTGTACAAAGATGTGATCATTAAGTGTAATAATGCAAAGTATATATTATTAAGGATATTTCATCAAATCTAAGTTGTCATCAATGTAAGAGTAACATTATATCTATTAAAAAGTGGCAAAATCATACCCCAGAGTTTTTTAAATTTTTTTTATTAGAGAAACACCATGAGGTACAGTTGTAGACTTACAAATTTTTGTGCTTGGGTTTCAGTTATACAATGATCGAACACCCATCCCTCCACCAGTGCCCATTCTCCACCACCACTAATCCCAGTATCCCTCCCACCCCCCACTCCCCCCATGCCACCCCGGCATAGAGTTTTTTGAATTATATATTCAGATTCCATCCTAGATTCATGGAATTTAAAGCTCTACTGTTGAAGCTAAGGAGGAATAGTCCAGATATTTCTAATATTTTTCTGAGAATCTGATAGGTTCTGGAACCCTGGCTTTCAGTTTATCATCAGTTATTGATCGAACAGCCTGAAATTTAATTCTAAGGTATGCTCTATTTGGTATATTAGCATTTGCTTAGATGTTCTATAAGGCTGTGTTTTAAACTTTGCTAACAAAAGCTGGTTGTCTGGATACTTTGCATCTGCTGATACATTCACGGAATTCCAGAAAGTTTCAGCTCAAGAGTTGCATATAATAAATACTTCAGCAGAACATGTAAACCAAACTGGGTTCTAGTGGTCAGAATGCCACAGCACAGCAACTTTCTGAAATCTTTCCCTAAATATAATCTGAGGACATTGAGATCACATATGTCATTCTATGTTTTATTATTCTAAATAATACACTATTAGCTCTTCATATATGTGTGTATACATACACAACATTACATGTATGCATTTAATATGCAATATATGTGTATATGTAACATACATGCATATCACACACATATATAACATATGTATATGTGTAACATACATGCATATAATACACACATATAACATATGTATAAATGTAACATGCATGCATATCACACACACATATAAGCTTTTAAAAACTAGCTGGAGTCTCTTAAAAATTATAATTGGAGTGCAGAGTAATAGTACAGTGCGTTGGTTGTTTGCCTTATAGGTAACTAAACACCATTCGATGCCTGGCACCACATATGGTCCCCTGGGCCTGCTTGGAGTAATTCCTAAGTGAATATCCAGAAATAAGCCCTGAGTACAACCAAATGTGAACCAAAACACAATATGGTCACTAGAACTGTGATCTGAGCATGCTAAGCAGGGGAAGGGAACTTGAGATAATGGCAAAGTGGTTAATATGGTAGAGTAGTCCTGCAAGTGTAAAACAATAATATTGGTATTATTGAAAAAAATAAATAAATTTTTAAACATGACTTTTTCTAAATGCTGTGATTGAATCCTGGTAATGTTACACTAATATCATCACAAATAAAGCCAGGGTCAAGATTAGCGGGTAACTCTGGACTCTTCAACTCTCTTTATAGGTCTTTAGCAATCCATTTGATCATCTTCCCTGTATCCCTTAGTCCTCACAGCCATGTTGATAGCTGTCCCATGATCTCAACTGAATCCAATCCTCATGACCCATCAATGACACCCAAGGGACGTGCCAAAAGCACAGGGGACTATCACCAATGTAGTCCCACCCAATGAGAATCCCACCCACCCAGATCACTCAGTGAGCCGCCCTGTGCCTGTTTTTGTGCAGATTTCTTCCAATCCTGGCTAACTCCCAAGGACGCACATATCAGATCTGCTCCATATTGGCAGAACTTTGGCTTGAAACAAGTCTCAAATGCCTCCCTATCTAATATTGGCAGTCTTGAAAAAACCACAGCCAGGAAATTATTCTGGGAGACTCACTTGCTCTATGACACTTCACAAGGAGAAGCTGATGGCTTTCCTTCCCAAGCTCTTACTTTCCTCTGTGCCCAGAACAAATGATGGCATTTCCTTCTATGTGCCCTAAATTAGGAGAAGGCCGGCTCAGCTGCTGTGTGAATGAGGGGTTGGATGTCTGTAATGGACAGAGCCCTGTGCACAACACAGTGTGCTTTGTGCCAAGATCTTTCTCCTTCAGTTTGAAAAACCCTTGTGTATTCCAAGAGAAATGCAGACCATGTGTTTCTGATTCATTTACACTTAAATCATTAAAATGTTGTTTTGTAGGACTTATTTGATGTCTAAAGAGACTGTAAGTCTTCTTAATGGGCTTTCTAAAGGTACTTCCCCGCCCTCTCCTGCTATTCTGCCTGAAACAGAAAGCAATCTTTGGCTAAAACAGTGCCTGAGTTCAAACATCCCCTCATCTCACGAACTTATACCCACATTATAAACACAACCTCTGCTGAAACTGCCTACGCTCAAACATTCTCTCACCTCATGGACTTGCACACATACTATGGACCACAACCTCTCAGTAATGCCAGGCTTGGGAACGCTGGCATGCTAAGGTGTTAAAAGAGAGAAGTTGAAAGGGATGAAGATCAAGGGAAAGGTATTCCAGCAGAGATTCAAGTCATTGTATTCTAAATGTGCTGAAATTGGTTACCAGAGGGTGGGTAGTGCAGGTGTTTACCTCCTAGTTTGGGGGTGAGTGGTAGCATTCTCGGGTACGCCACTGGACTTGCACAGTAGAAGCCGTTACTGAGAAACAATCTCCTTTCTGATTAGTAGTAAACCCCATTTTCTTCATGAGAAAACAGAATCAGAGATGTTGAGTTCGAGATCCAAAAAGAACAGCTCGCTTGCATAGAAAGGAAAGATTACTTATATTCTGACTTGGAGTCTAGCTCTTTTCCCCAGACTTTGCACTGAGTTTCTCTGTGAATATTACGTTAGACATAAATGCCTTATGCCTAAGCATGTATTAATGAGAAGCCTTCAGATACAGTGGGCAAGACTCAGATTCTTCACCCATCACTTTCTAGCCCTGTGACCTCGGGCAAGTTACGTCATCTCTGCGGTCAGTTTCCTCATCTGGAAAACTTTGCTTCTCACAAAATGTAAAGAAGAGTGAAGGAAGTGAACACAGGACTAGAACAGTGCCCGACGCAGAGCACTCAATTAGCGAAGGAGTAATCAAGAGCTGGAAACTTGCATGAGTTGTGCAAGCTCTCTGAGCCTCAGTTTAGTCATCTGGAAAAGGACTGTAATATTATGGCGTTCACAGTGGTAGAGGTAACTGAGATGATGTTTGTGCGTAACACTGCACCCCAACATCCTCTGTTCGGTAGAGATCAGTATCACTGTGCAGGGAGTCATTTCTTTTTGCTCTGCTCAGTTTAGATTTGGAACATTGGGTACAAGCTTAAATCTTTCTCCACCCTTGGGCAATGGAGCTCACGCGCTGCTCTGGAGCCTGTCTGGGCTGGATTCAACCTGTGCACACCTGGAGTCAGTACATAGCCCACGTCGGGAGGAGGAAGTTTTGACCAGGGAGGACTCTGCTCCCTTGCTCTGAGTCGGTGCTGTGTACACTGAAAATCTTGTCTCTGGACAGGCAGACTCATCCAGACTTGGGCTCTCACTCATTCCTCTCTCCTAGTGCAGTTGTTAGAATTCCCTTTTTGGTTATTTCTGTTTAATTGATGTGTTTTCAATGGCGTTCTGAGGGGGAGCAGAAAACTATAGCCATCTGGCAAGGGAGACTAAAGTGAGAAATTGATTGTCCCCCTCCACCCTCTGAGAGACAGACTGGGTGAGAGGTGGGGGGGTAGGGAGGGGAGGAGAAGGGAAAGACACCTATCTGAGTCCCTTGGTGATTTTTATTTCTTTCAAGAGCTACAGGCAGCCACACAGGATAAAAGAAGGAACTGGAAGAACAGATATACGGAATAAGACAGAATCTGTTCTGTCAAGTTGCTCTGTGTGTAAGAGAGAGCTAGAGGGGGAGGCGGGAGGGAGAGGGGAGGAGTGAGGGAAAGAGAGGGAGAGGAGAGGCAAAGGCAGAGGGAGAGGGAGAGGGAGAGGGAGAGGAGGGAGAGAGGGGGAGAGGGGATCTGTTGCAGGCAGGGGAAGGCGTGACCTGAATGGAGAATGCCAGCCAATTCTAGAGACACACGGGGACCTCAGAACAAAGATAAGGCATCGCTGACACCACTCCGGGGACAAACTCACAGACACGTCAGGCCCAGGGGGACCAAGGTCTGGCAGCTGGAGCATTGGAGACAGGAAAATGAGGTGAGTGCTGGAGTGGACAAGGTGCCCTTTGGGGGACCAGGTGTCAAGTCGCCCAGAGGGTCTGACCTTGCCTCCAGACAGACTCACCTGCATGCCCTGCGGAGGGAGCCGAGAGAGATTTCTCCTCCAAACCTCGGGGTTCTGAGTTGGGCTGGGCACGCTCCTGCTCGCCCCAGGACTCAGGGAGACAGGCAACTTGCAAAGGAGACTGTGTAAATCCTGCCCCAGCTGCTGCTGCTACTGCTGCAAGAGCTCCGATTTCTCCCGCTGCCCTTAGGGTGCTGCCTGCTGCCAAAGGTGACTTTCCTCTCGTTGCCCACCAGTCTGACTTTTCGTTTTCATTCTCTGCAAAGAGCCTTCCTTGATCTCTTCCAACACTTTATGAGTTTGATATGTGTTTGTGTGTTTATTTTGTTCTGACCGGAAAGGAAACCAGCTTCCCACAGCTCAGCTCTGCGGTCACTTAAACCCTCACAAGTTTAACAGTGAAAACCTCAATTTAAAAAACTAAAACCTGTCCCCATTTTACAGTTTCCTATAAATTTCTGCATTTCTTACTGAAATCAGAGGCAGCTGGTGGCATAAATCCTGCTATGAATTGCACTGAATGACTCTTAAAGGGATATCACAATTTTTTTAAGAAAAAAAAAAGGAAGGAAAGAAAGAAAAGGGAAACTTGGGAGTGCTAAACCAGACACTAAATTCTTACTGTTTTCATGTTCTTCAACATTTGAAATTCCTCAGCCCCTGTTTATCTACTTGATCCTTCTTTCCAGACATTCCTTGTAAGTTTTCCTGGGCACATTTCAAAATGCAACCACTATGATTCTTTTTTACAACTTGTAATTGTTAATTAATACTGGTACAATTTAAAAAACAATAAAAAAAAGGGGAGTCTACAGATGTGATAGGTCCCTAGGTGCCGTTTTTTCTGTTCATTTCTTCTAAATTGGTGAATGATTTTTATTTGTTTCTTTTCCTACAAGGTCAGCTAACAACTTTTCTGCCACTGCCTTAGAGGAGGGGCTTCTGGCTGTGTTAACTCTTTGAATTTATTTTACCTGTAGTTTAACAAGATGCTCAGCTCTCTAAAGTTATGTCAATGTTCTGTTCTTTTTAACATGTAATTTCACACCCGCTAATTTACATGTAATTACACATCTATGAAATTTTAAAGCCCCTCCCAGGTTTCATTTTCCTCTCTCCTACACTAGATGAAATTTGTACCATTCTCCTAGAAATGGCAATTTGATTGATCACTACTGGAATCCCTCTTTACCACTTGATTAAATATAGGGGTGCACTAAATATAGGGGTGATTAACAATTCTGCATCTTCATATTCATTCACCTTTTTTTCCCCAGAACAATCCTCCCTCTAATTTTCCATTGAGGGAGACAAGTATTGTTTGAATTGCCTCAAGCATCACCTCCTCTTCCCTGGTCCCCATCCCCTAGTTGACTGCTACTCCTTTGTATCCCCTTCACTTCCTCTGTCATTTGGAGCTCTATCTCTTATTGTCCTCGAAGTGTCTTCTTGTTTAAATGCTGCCCTTCCCTTCCATGACTAAATTTTCTTTAAGGTACAGGATCATTAAGGTACTTGTTCATCTTTGTCCAACCAGTACCTAGCCTAATTTCTGTTTTCTCTTTGGCAATCAATAAATATTGAATTTAGTGACTGAATTGGTTGGATTGAGCTTGCTTGTTAACTAGAAAAACCACTACCACAGAAGTGCTCACCTAGAAGTCTCTAAAGGATCTTGTCTCTTGTGAGGACAACATTTCAGAGTGTTCAGAATCATTTCTCAGGGGTTTCATCTGGTCTTTAGATTTCAGAGGAAGTAAGGCTTTGTGGAAAAGTGAGGTGGAAGCAGTCAAGCAACTAGCCCAGAGCCACGCTGATCATCTTGAAAAATACCAGATTTAAACTTGCATTTTTGGGCCCCGAATCCAGAATTTTTTGGTACTGTATTCCATCAGACTCTCAACTAAGTGTATCATTCCACACCGACAACTAATAGTCCTTATTGTGTATTAGAATCATCTGTGTTGCTTTTAAAAGATGCCATTGACTGCAACTCATGCCAGACCAATTAAACTGGGATCTGCTGGGGAGGGCATTTGGTATTAGTATATTTTTAAAATTTCTGCATAAAGCCATGGGTTTTGAATTATTTTTCACAGGATTAATTGCTTTGGCCAGATGCCTAGGCATGATATGGGCATAGACCCAGCATCCGCTGTGAGCTTTTTGTTAGTCTCTTCTTCTGTTGAAGCTAATTCACCATATGGTATTGGGCATGACATATCACCTCTTGGGTTAACTTTTTTATTTTCTGACAAATAATAGTGTTGTCAAAGGGATCCACACAATCCTTTTTAAACTCCTCTTCTGAAGAATAGTTGGTGTAGTGTAAGTTGAATGGAGAGAATAGACAGTGCTACTTATTCCACACCCATCAACATAGGCCAGCATTTGTATGCATTCTCAGTAGCCTGCTCCAACTATGGAGCCTACAAAATCCCCGAGTCTGTATTGCTTTTGACATTTCAAGCACAAATGTAGTTAAACTTTTGATTTACTAGAGAATAGATAGTCGTTGTCAAAAAGGGAATGCCCTGCCACAGGTGAGAGGGATGGGGGTGTGGGGGAGGGCTACTAGGATCATTGGTGGTGGAGAATGGGCACTGGTGGAGGGATGGGTACTCGATCATTGTATATCTGAAACCCAAGCATGAAAGTTTATAAGTCTACAACTGTACCTCATGGTGTTTCGCTAATAAAAAAAAAAAGGAAAGAAAGAAAAAAAATTGCCCAGCCAGTGCCTGTGTATAAGATGCAAAAAAAAAAAAAAAAAAGTAATCAGTGTGTGATGAGGGATGAAAGCCATTACTAACATTCTTTGACTTGCAGTCTCTGAAACAAGCAAGCATATGCTCAAGCCCATTACATGGAAGGAGCTATTTGTTTCATATGTTTGAAACCGTTTGGAGATGCAAACAAAATTGAACAGAGAGCTTCCCAGGCCTTCCTCCCGTGCTGATCAGTTGCCTACCATACGTGGTCCTGGGCTTTTGGGCCTACATGGGGCTCTTAGCAGTCAACTCTTGACAGAATCAAAATTAGGATACTCAGTCTCCTCCCAATGGAAAAAGCAGACATGGAGAAAGTTGACCTTTCAGCCTTGCATAATCTGGATGTCACTATTGCAGGAAAGTGTGATTTGGGAGCCAAAGCTCAGTCCTAAACCCTGCTTTTCTGGAAAACAGAAGAATGGAGTAATCAGAACTAATGTTTGCCTAGAGCTAGACTGTTAATAAAGTACTTTTCAACCTCCTTTACTTTGATAAGCAGCCCTGTGGGTGGTCATTATTATCATCACTAAATAGATCAAGAAACTGAGACCTTAAATGACTCTGCCACAAGATAAATGCTTTCCCCAGCCCAGACAGAAAGAAATTGCAACTCCACTACGTAGTCAACATTGGGAGATTTTTTTTTCTTTCTCCTAATAGTGGTGTTACCTAAAACTTGCATTAGTGTTTCTGAACTAAATTTTTCTACTAACTCACTGGACAGTTTATCTCCTTTATTGTCAGTGTAGTTCTGTCATCTTGTCGCCACAGTTGGTTGAAAAACAAAACAAAACAAAAATCTCAGGACTGGAGCCAAAATACAGCAAGTAGGGTGCTGGCCTTGCATTTGCCCACTTGGGTTGCATCCCATACAGTCTCTGGAGCACTGGCAGGAGTGATTCCTGAGTGCAGAGCCAGGAGAAACCCCTGAGCATTTCTAGGTGTGGCTCAAAAAGCCATAGCTCCCCGCTCAGGTAGTGGAGATGGATTCCCATGAGGTATAGATGAGCAGACATCAAATGCAGCTTGACTGCTGCCATATGGGGCTACTGGGACCCTAGCATCCATGCTGTACAGTGCTCCTGGCAGACTTGACTGGTCCTAAGCACATCCCACCACCAGAACTACCTTCCCCTGGAGACAGCAGGAGGGCCGTAGTTGCTTTACTCAAGGTTTCTGCTCCCCTTGCTCCTCATTCTCCCACCATCATTTTGAGGGCCACCCAAGAAATCTAGATCAAAACTGTACAAATCTTGGGCCAGAACAATAGTACAATGAGTAGAGAATTTGCCTTGCACATGGCCAACCTAGGTTCGATCCCAAGGATCTTAGCATCTCAGATGGTCTCCTGAGCATCACCAGGAGTAATTCCTGAGAGCAGAGCCAGGAGTAATTCCTGAGCATCTCCAGAGATGTCTCAAAAACAAACAAATACACAAAAAAGTGCCTCAGATATTAGATGAAAAGATCTTGTTTCTTTAATTGCATGTCACATATTGCCACTGAAGGGATTTGGGAAAAAATTTGATTCTTGAGAAAAAATAATATCTACATCTTATTGAAAAAAATGTAAGGTCCTTTTAGACAAAAGCAAATATTTCTTCTACGCTAAATTAAATTAAAAATATTCATATTCCTACTTCAGCAAGAACTACTGTTAATTACCTAGTGAATATCCTTACATGCCTTTTTGCACTAACCTATTTATCTTTAATGTAAATATTATATGAAACAGCTAGGTGATCTATGCACATGGTTATAGCTGTCCTATATTTATATATAATTTACATGTGTATATTAAACACAAATATACATTACATACTCAGGATACAGCATAGGTGGGAACATACTATTTAGCAGAGATGTGATTATTAACACTAAGTTTTTGTGGGAGTGGGTTTTTTTTGTTTGTTTTTGAGCTACACCTGCAGTGTTCAGGGGTTACTCCTGGCTCTGCACTTATTAATTAGTGCTGGTGGTGCTGGTGGAATGACCGTATGGGATGCCAAGAATAAAACCCAGCTTTGCTGCATATAAGGCAATGTATACCCCCTGTACTATTGATCTAGCTCCAAGTCATCACTGACTCTTTATGCTTTATGCTTTTGTGCCCACTTCCATTCTTTTATTCATCATCAATTATATATTAGCCTCTATAGTAGATCATGTGTATATTGTCTCTAATGCTCACATGAGTCCTTTTACATATGAGAAAACTGGGACTCAGAGAGACAGGTTTCTCAGATTATAATAGCCAGTAATTAGAAAAGTTGATATTTGGGCGCAGATTCATCTACCTTGAGAGACTGTGACCAAAACAATGCTCGAATGCAGGCGTGGACAGAAAGCTGTGGAATCTGGAAGCATGAAAGGTCCTACAGAGTCTGGGTGGTATAGAATAAGCAGAACAAGCAGGCGAGAAATGAACAGGATATGAGTAGTGGTGCTAAGGCTTAGATGGGAATAGTTCAGTCCCAAAATGATAATACAGAGCACGACCACCACTGAGATGATGCCAGCAAGGCAGATATCATAGGATCAAAGAGGGCCTCATCAATCATGCAGGGGCAAATACTTTACTCCACAGAAACAGTGAAGCAGCATGGCCCCTTCTGCGCTTTAGAAGACCAGCTTTGGGAGATGGTTGCTAAACTATATAAAGGAAGAGAGAACCATCAGGGAAGTTGATCAAGAAACAACAAAAGGTCAGAGAAAGAGTACAGGAGGAAGCACTTGCCTTGTGTGTTGCCACCCCCAGTTTTAATCCTGTAACTACATATGGTTCCCCTAACCCTGAGCATAGAGCCAGTAGTAAGCCCTGAAAACAGGCAGATGTGAAGAAAGAAAGAAAGAAAGAAAGAAAGAAAGAAAGAAGGAAGGAAGGAAGGAAGGAAGGAAGGAAGGAAGGAAGGAAGGAGAGAGAAAGAGAGAGAGAGAAAGAGGGGGCTAGAGTCATAGAACAGCAGGTAGGGTGTTTGCTTTACACGCGGTTGACTCGGGTTCGATTCCTAGCATCCCATATGGTCCCCTGAGAACTGCCAGGAGTAATTCCTGAATGCATGGGCCAGGAGTAACCCCTGTGCATTGCTGGGTGTGACCCAGAAAAGAAAGAAAGAAAGAAAGAAAGAAAGAAAGAAAGAAAGAAAGAAAGAAAGAAAGAAAGAAGGGAGGGAGGGAGGGAGGGAGGGAGGGAAGAAAGAAAAAGAGAGGAAGGAAGGAAGGAAGGAAGGAAGGAAGGAAGAAAGAAAGAAAGAAAGAAAGAAAGAAAGAAAGAAAAAAAGAAAGAGATGATAGGCCAGATAAAGAAGTCAAAATTAATGGACTGAAGAGAAGCCGTTACATTTCCAAAATGCATAAAGGCAAATCATTTGGAGTTAGGGAGGAACATTATATGCTAACTTTGGAGCCTACAGTTCAAGGGCTCTAAGTCATACAGAGAATGATGTATAATATACTTTATGTATTGAATTTCTCCATTGGTGTTTTAACTCACGGCAAATCCTGGCAATCTACCCGTGACGTATTCGATATGCAAACACAGTAACAAGTCTCACAAAGGAGATGTTACTGGGCCCACTCGAGCAAATCAATGAACAATGGGAGGACAGTGCTACAGTGCAGTGCTGGTGTTTTAACTAGTTTTTGTCTTTATGTATGATTATTGTTATCTGTTATTTTGGGTGTGTTCTGTTAAGTTGTATTGGGTTTTCTTTGCCCTCATGTAATTCTTTTAACCGCCCATTATCTCTCTGATTCCTACAAGTAGAAATAAATAGTAAGGTTTTGAAGTAGTCCTCTTAAGTAGACCAGAGAGATAGTTTTGCATGCAGAAGGCCCACGTTTAATCCCTGGAACCGCATCGTCCATCCAGCACTTCAAGGAGTGACCTCTGAACACAGGGCTAGGAGTAGTTCCTGAAGATTGCAAAGTGTGATCTCATCCCCTCCCCCTAAAAAAACTAATAATAAGTGAAAGGATTTTAAATATCTTGATTAATTTGTTAAATCTGTTTAAGATTTCACAAGTCTTATTGTTGTCTCATCCTAATATTACATTACTTCTTAGAAAAAAATGAAGCAATAGCTTTTGATTCCTGAATGAAGTGAAACTAATAAAAATAATGCTCACCTTACTTATGAAAGTTTCATTTTTGTTTTGGGGCCACACCCAGCGGGTTTACCTCTGAATCACTCCCACAGAAGCTCAGGGACCATATACGGTGTTTAGGATAAAATTTGAGTCAGCCAAGTGCAAGGCAACTACTCGACCCACGGCACTATCTCTCCCACTCCAGAGTTTATATTTTCAACAGCAAATGATCTTAAATGTGACTTATTGGGGGAATTTTTGTCCCCATTAAATCTTCAAAGGGGTAATATGGAAAGATACCTTGGAAATGGTCTAATTTTCTTGTCCTGTGGATGGGGTAAGCAAGGCTCAGGGAAGAAAAGTAATCACAGAAGGTCAGAAACAGAATAATCTGAAAACATGGTCGCTGGCACTGATTTAGTTCAGATGTAAGAACCTGTGTTCGTGAATGTAAGTAGATCCATTTGTCTTTCAGGTGGTTCCTTCTCTGTCATGCTCTGTGTTTCTTGGTAAAAGCTTTGGCCCACACTGTGGAGCTAAACAATATGTTCGGCCAGATCCAGTCCCCTGGCTACCCAGATTCCTATCCTAGTGACTCTGAGGTAACTTGGAATATCACTGTTCCAGAGGGATTTCGAATCAAGCTATACTTCATGCACTTCAACTTGGAATCCTCCTACCTTTGTGAATATGACTACGTGAAGGTGAGCAACCCCCGCTTGATGTTCCCCATCAGGAGTTATTTATTGAATGTTCTGCAAGGAGATTGAGAAGCCCAAATGAAGTAAACGCTGTGTTCACATTCTAAAGTCTCAGCCCAGTGAGACAGACACACAGGATAATGTGTGTGTGTGTGTGTGGGGGGGGGGGGGGGGGGGGCGGTGGAGGTTGAACGAAGGTTAGTTGCACTATTTAGGTGCAGGCCAAATGAGCAGACACAGAAAGAACCATGATGAAAATTGAAGCTAGCAAAATATAATTTACCAAACATATCCTCTGTTTTTACTCTCTGTTCTCAAAGTCATAAATGTTTCCGCTAATTTTTCATACAATGTCACCTTTAATTCAGTATGCAGAAAAGAGTAGAAACCTCAGGTAAGAATAAATCAGACTGAAAAACAGTCATAATTATTTCCAAAACTAAGATACTAGAAAGGTTCCCTGGTTCCCTAAGAAATGGTCAAGTGTTTTGGGAATGTAGAATATGCAATAGTAGGCAATAGGATGTGATCTTGGAAGGTTGAATTAAGGCCAAACGCTGAAGATTTCTGGAATGTCATGTTAATGGCTTTGGATTTTATCAGTCATGCTATGGGTCAGGGATGGATAGAAAAATTGTCACTATCAGCACAGAAAACATCAGGAAGAGAACAGGAGATGCTTACAATGTCAAAAAAACATTCCCTAGAATTTAGAAGGAAAAGAAACAATGTCACAGGGTCAGAGAGAAAACAGCAGGAGTGTGCTTAGCCCGCATACAGTCAACCCCAGTTGGATTCCTGGCCCCTGCTATGGTCCCCAAGCTCCTCCAGGGGTGATCCCTGAACACAGAGTCATGAGTAAGCCTCAAGGACTTCAGGACGTGGACCAAAACCCCAATATTTCCCCCTCTTCCAAAAAAGCAAGTGTCATGATTGGAAATCTGCTTTTCAAATGTGGGACTGAGTCACACATACGCTACCCAAGTCCATGTGCTCCGTGTTCCTGCCAAGCAAGCACATGTGGTGCCTGAGTACATGCAGGAAGTGCATCTCCCCTCTTGAGGTGTGTACTTTCATACTTTCATATCTAATGCTGGGGCTCCCTCTCCACTCGGGAGAAGCCCACTTCTCTTTTCAACTTTTGAATGTATTTCTCTCTCTCTCCTCTCTCTCGCTCACTCTCTCACTCTCGCTCTCTCTCTCTTTCTCCACCTCCCTTCTTCCTCACAATCAAAACAATCACAACCATCCTGTTATTCGTCGATTGCCTCGAGCAGGCCCCAGTAATATCTCTTTGTCCTAGCCCTGAGATTTTTTTAAAAAGTGTCATATTCAAGGCTCTTTCAGAGTTAGGAGAATGAGACCCTTCATTGTTACTGGTATTTGGCATATTGGGTACGCAACGGGGAGTTTGCCAGACTCTGCTGTGTGGGCAGGTTACATTCGATAGCCTGCCAGTTTGTCTAAAGCAGGAATGAGATGACAAGATGTCGCGCGGCCGCAAATGCGGCTGCGCGCTTCCAGGAGCTGGGTTTTATAGTCTCTGAATCTTGGCTCTCTCTCTTTCTCCACCTCCCTTCTTCCTCAGAACCTCCAAATAAAATCTGGGTGTTCGCCTTACAAGCGGCCAACATGGCTGACCCAAGTTCGATTCCTCCACCCCTCTGGGAGAGCCCAGCAAGCTACCGAGAGTATTTGATATGCCAGACACAGTAACAACAAAGTCTCCAATGGAGACGTTACTGGGCCCGCTCGAGCAAATCGACGATCAACGGGAGGGCCTTTACTTACTTACTTACTTATACTCCAAAAGATAAAATGGAACTAAGAAAGATTAAAGTACTTTTAAGAAATCAAATTTATCAAGACTGTATATATTTGGTTTTAAAAAAATGTAGACATCTAAGAACCTATTTTCTAAACTTTCTTTGACTTCCTGAAAGAGGTTTTTACATATCACCCTAGAGTAGTTTTATACTTTTTATATTATTACAATTTCCTTTTTTCTACAGTCCAGTCATTACATAAAAGTTGATGTGGTGCTAATCAAATTACCTGACCAACAGTAAAGTAGTGACTTTATCAGGTACATTATCACATTTTGCATTTGAATGACTGTCCCAATCAACCCTTAAAACAATCCTACATATGGAAAACAGACTGGTGCTTTTTCCGGTCATGGTATGAAAAGTAGGTTAAGAGGCTGAGCATGATCAAAGGACATAAATTTTTAGTTATAGGATAGATATGTTCTGGGGGTGTACTATGTAATACGGAGGATCAGGGAGATGGCTCAGATGGGCTAACGTTTATGCTCTGCATGGGGGAAACGAGATTTGTTACTGAGTATTGAAAGGCATGGCCTCAAAACAATAAATAAATAAATAAAATGTTAAAAATAATATATAAGTAAAATAAATCAAAACAAAATTTCACAGGTTCCTGCTAAGGCCTATGAGAATTCATGATACAAAAGATCTGTCCCCTCTATAACTGGAAGCCTGTCTCATGAGCAAAGGGGAGAAGGCAACTGGAATAGAGAAGGGATCACTAAGAAAATGATGGCTGGAGGAATCAGTCGGGATGGGAGATGTGTGCTGAAAGTAGATAATGGACCAAATATGATAACCTCTCAGTATCTGTACTGCAAACCCTAATGCCCAAAAGTAGAGAGAGAGTATGGGGAATATTGTCTGCCATAGAGGCAGAGGGAGGGTGGGAAGGGGGAAGTATACCAGGGATATTGGTGGTGGGGAATGTGCACTGGTGGAGGGCTGGTTGTTTGATCATTGTGTGATTGTAACCCAAACATGAAAGCTTGTAACTATCTCATGGTGATTCAATAAAATTTTAAAAAATATATAAAAATAAAAAATCTGGCCTTTACAAAGAGATCTATACCTAGAAGAGGGTAATATTATAAAGACTTACAGATGAAGAGGTGGAGCTGGTTACTCTAAGACAGAGCTTCTCAAATGTTTTTCATTCATGACTCCTTTTCTGCCTGAGAAATGCAGCATGGGTGAGTGTTGCCAGAAGCACATCAAATTCATTACATTTTAGTCATTGTGCCTCCAGAAGTCTTTTACTATTACCAGTTTCTTTTGGCACTCCCCTATTCAGTTATGCAACCCCACATGGAGTCAGTCTTTACTGCTTAGGAAGCTAAATTCTAAGAGATGGTGGTGGTTCATAATCTAGACCGACATGTGGTTTTCATACATGTCTTTAAAAATGGAGCCAACTTCTAAACATCACAAAGATCAAACATTTGTTCACTGAGATACAAAGTTTTCATCAATCCATAATTGAACTTTCTGACAATAAGGTCAGTTATGTATTCTGGTACATACTCTAGCTTCTGCCAGAATCACGCTCCAGGAAAAGGCAGATAATTAACCTATTAAGTTAAGCAGAATCCACAAGTCCATTCTCTCAAATAATGCTGGCCATAAAAGCATGGCACACTCTGATATTTAGGTTGAGAGTGGTCCTGAACAGAAAAAATAAGATCAAGTAAGCGTGGCTTCATCTGAGTTCCATAGAATCAAACACAGCTGTATATAAACTCCCCCAACTCTGTTTCTCCCCTTTCAATCTTTGTTAACCGTGAAAACACTTACTTTTCCTGGTAACTGAGGTCTCAATACCATGAAAATTATTGATATTTTTCTTTAGCCATAAAATATGACTTATTTTTATTATCCCTCCTTGCCTTCACCCTTGGTTGACTCTCAGTTCACATGAGCAATCATTTCTTACAAGCTTGCTTCTTGTTTAGACAGATATCAAGTGTGATTCTGTTAGAACTCCTTTTGCAACACGATAAATATACAACAGGATTTAATTGATTTCTTTACCCCAAATAAATTCAATTTCTTCACAGGATAGATGAAAGAGCTGACATCAGCTGTCTTATAGAGTGAGGGAAATGGCAAGATACTTATAAAGACAGCAATAGAATCTGAAAACTAATCAAACACTGAGTTAAGGATACCAGAATCCATATACCAAAGCTTGTTTTTTCTGGTTGGAGAATACTTTGGAAAGTAATTGATGGCTTCTCGCCTAGGTGATGGGGCACTTTCTAAAATTCCCAGAAAAGAAATCAGGTTCTCTAAAAGGATCCGAGGTTCTTGCTCAGACTTCAGTAAATGCTTTTTCTCTTCCCAGATAATGCCACTAATTCTCAAATGATCTGGCATGGATAAGATTTTATAACACTCTTTGCTACACAATTACATCTGGACATAGCAAAGAGACTGTCTGAGACAACTCAGAAGCTCATCCTCTCTCCAGTTCTTGTTAATGCTTGCATCTCTGATATACACACATTTTTTCCAGTTTCTTTGGAAGAAGGCAAGAATTTTTATTGGGAACAGAAGGCAAGGCATATTTGTTTTCTGGTCTTGCACAGCTGATGCTCATCCAGAATGCCAGTCCAATCATTGTTATTAACCTCCTTGCAGAAGTGTCAGCAGCCATCAGATCTGAGCCTCCTTCCTTGGAGGTTATACTCTTGTTGGCTGATAACTGGTGCTCTCTTCGTAATGGACCTGAAACTTATCCCCACAGAGTTTTCCTTTCTAGAGTCAAAATTTCACAACATGTCAGTCTGCAAGACCCCTTTGTAGACTTAGAAAGTCACAGGGTGTTGTTGCTGATGTTGTTCTTCTCCCTTGCAAGCAAATGTTTGGGTAGGCACAATATGGAACTTTTAGGGATCGTACCTTACCTCTTCAGGGAGTAACTCAGATGGGAGATGGTTCTGAAGCTTACCCTTTAGATTCATCCTCTATGGTCACTTGAAAGTCACATGGAGCAGGAACTATAGCTGAACTTGAGCTTACATTCCCATTGCTTAGATATGAAATTCAAGTTTATCATTCAGGGACAAGACTAGCAGTACACTGTTCTCTGAGGTCCTCAACCCCAAAGCCTTTTACTTATAGTGAAACTTGTTAATTTATTCTATTACCCTACTTCTCCTCTACACCCAGAAC